AATTTACAAGACTTCCACTGACTTGGCCCCTACATAATTACTTGTCACCTTGTACCATTTTCTCCCTCATTTCCTCTATGCCAGTCATTTTGGTTGTCTTTGTGCTCCTCCAATGTGCCTCGATGCTTTCCCCCTCAGGGTCCTGGTATATGCTTTCCCTTTATTTCCCTTTGCAGAGCTGATTTCTTCATATTTGTCAGGTCTTAATTTATACGTTATTGTTAGCCCCACGGATCAAACTTCCCGATGACTCAGTTCAAAGGCAGTCCTCCCTCTCTCATCAGCACCCAGTTCATTCCCATTAAAGCCCTTACTGCAGGTTGTAATTACGGGCTGGCTTGTTTTCTCGTTTGTTGTCTTTCGTTGCCCACAAGTATGTGAGCTCCATAAGGGTAGGGACTTTCTCTGTCTCATTGTAGCTGCATCACTGGTGTCTAGAAAGATGCCCATGCACAACAGATGTTCAGTACGTATACGTGGAATGAATGAATCTGTTTTTAGATTATTCAAGCTGTTTATTTTCCCTTGATTACCTGCCAGTCTACTCCTTGGTAAAATATTAGAATAAGGAACATGTTTCCTTTTGTGTTCAAAGAGAATATGGAACTTTAACAGACTAGAAGACGATCCTAGCTTTTAAGTCTTCGCTTTTAAGCAGTCTATCCATTAATGATGGCAAATAATCAAAGATAAGTTATGAGAACATTCAGACTTTCACTAGCAAAATGTAATCTCTATTTTCTGTCCCTTTTGTGAATTTTATTTTATCTGAATTGGGAATGTGGCCATAGCTATGGGAGCTGTTGCTTGTATGTGGACTTTTCAATTACTGAATTTTAGAAATGCTACAAGATTAACATTTTTGTTTATTTCAAATACATTGGTCCCAAGACTATGTGATGCTAACTCTTAATATCCTCAAGAGTCACAAAATGAAGTTGCTGATGTGGAATTTATTACAACAATACCTCAGGATATAAAATTATGTCTATAAAACACTCATGTAATACTATGAGCTCATAATATAAATGGAGAGCAAACCATCTGTGTTTTGGACACATTATATCATTAAAATTTTTGTTTATAAATCTAAAGTTAAAAACAAAACAAAGTTGCAACTAACAGGTGTGTTGCTTCAAACACAAAACTCAGCAATCCAGAGGCCTGACTTGAGGAAATGCCTGCAGAAACTGAAGGTCAAGTTAAGATATCACATTGAATACTCCAGGAAATAGAAAGGAAGTAACTCTAAAACATATTAGAAAAATAAATATGCAACTTTGCTGATCAAGATGAAAGATTCTATGTGAAATACTTTTTATCTGAAGAAAAGGAAGGAAGAAGGAAGGGTAAGAGAAAGGAAGACGGTGTTGAATAGGTGCCCAGCCTGAGGTGATTTAGTGCTTGAACTCAGGCTCTTGGGCTGTGCAATCAAGAAAACCACTGTCGATGTCTGTATTCCATTTACGCAGGGTTTACATACTCTGCAGCGTGTTTCAGCCATGAAAAGTGTGAAACCATGATGGGGATTACTAGGGCAACCAGAGCTCAGAGGGAGGACATGGGTCAGCGTGGACTCGAGAAGTTGAGAACCACGCTATGGAAGGGGTTGGACTTCTGCTGAATCTTGTTGGATGCATAGGATTTTGATGGAGAAAGATGTGAACACCGAGGAAAGACTATGAAGGACACATGTACAAAAACAAAAACAAAGTTAGAGAAGTTCAGTTAGACTTTTCCATCCCTAGGAGAAATTTTAAAAGAGTGCTCTGACTGCAACAAAGGAGCATTTTGCACAGTCATGGGGAATGAAGGAAACAGAGCTGCGGTGGCTTCGAACTGCAGGCTGCAGTGTGAACAGGCAGGAAGGAGGTTTGGGAAACTTTGAGGGAAGGTGACACAAAGGAGGTGATGTTTTAGAGAAATTCTTGAGGGCACCAGGCAAGGTGGGCTGCAAAAAAGTAAGCTTGGAGTCCTACCCTGATGCCATTTCTACAATAAGGGATAAAATGTACTAAATTAATGATCTGTACTATGATGGTGGTAATGTTTTTTTCTTTAACTCAAGTTAAGTTATTTATTTCTTACTTTTTAATGTGGTAAAAACACATAAAATAAAATTCGCCACCTTAACTGTTTCAAGTGTACAGTTCAATTATGGTAAGTACATTCACATTATTGGGCCACAGATGCCTAGAACTTTTTCAGTTTCTTGCAAAACTGAAGCTCTACACCCACTGAACGACAACTCCTCATGTCCTCCACCGTCGGCCCCTGGCAGCCTTCCTTCTGCTTTCTGTTTCTATGAATTTGACTACTTAAAATACCTCACGTCCGTCGGATCATAGAATATTTGTCTTTTTTTGGACTGGCATATTTCTCTTAGCGTAATGTCCTCAAGTTTCATCCGCATTGTAGCATGTGACAGGATTTCCTTCTTTTTAAAGGCTGAGTAATATTCCACTGTATGTGTAGACCACATTTTACTTCCCCATGCATCTGTCAGTGGGCATCTGGTTGCTGCCACCTCTAGCAATGAATATGAGTGTGTGACAGATCAGGTAATTAATTCATAGCTATCCTTGCCTGTAGGGCCAGTGTCCAGAGATTTGTTTTGGTTTGCTTGGGCAACAGTCTTCCTGTTTCTCTGTTGCCTTGCAAACTTTTGTTAAGATTTGGGCACTTGGAAACAAGGCACCTGCTGCAGTGTGTATGGACTGGATCACGAAGGGGAAGACTGCCCCAGTCAGCAGGGCGGGAGATGCTGGGGGCCTCTCACCCTTTCCGAAGATGGGCCTTCTCTGGGCTCAGGCATGTCAAGCTCCCGGTTAAAGAGGCTGCCTGCTTCTCTGAGGCCCTACTCTCTTTCTTCCCCTGGTGACCATGGTAAAAAATTCATTCCAAGAAACAATTTGAAGAAAATGGAAGCAGATATTTATTAAGTGTGGTGTGCTCTATACCTCACACACAATAGTTTAATTAATTCTTATCACAGCCCTTCCCAATGAGTGTCATTGCAATTTACAGATCATGGAGTCTCAGTGAGTAATTAACTTATTCAAAGTCAGACTGTGGAGCCAGGGTAAAGAACCAGAAGGTTGGATGGCCAGTGGATTAAGATGAATCGAAGTGTTTTTATTTGTTTTATAAAGCTGTATTTCTATTTTTATTTTTGTTCTCTCCTAAGTCTGAGAGCCTTACCCTGGTTTGTATGTTTGCATATCAAAGACAACTGCTGAGTAGAGGGCGCTCAAAGCAGTTTTTAGTATTGTTTTCTTTTATCCTTAAAACTAAGCATTTGCTTCTAGATAAACGAAAGATGAGTTTCTGACAATAAACCGCAGTCTAATAGAGACTAACAATGAACGATTCCCTGCTGGCTAAGGCCAGCATTCCTTACTAAGTTTGCTCTCAGTGAGTTCTTTGGTGGCTGTGAGCTCCAGTTTGACAGGAGCCTCAAACTCGAGCTCTCAGAGCCAAGGGCGGCCGGCAGGTGCGTGTTCCAGGCAATATCCCAGGGCTGAGTGGAACCAGCACAGCACACGTGGGCAATTTAGAAGGCACATAAAATAAACGTGCACCAGCAGGGCTAGAGAATAAGACAGTTCTGAGGGTTGGGGATACAGCTCGAGTTTTAGATTCAGGTTGTAAAACCTAAAAACTCTCTTTATAAAGAAAAACAGAAGCTTGCAGTATTGTTTCATTACCCACCGGCACTTTTGAGCCGTGAACTTTCCCCCACTTCGGAAACTTCTCTGGAAAATTCATTTCATGCTTGTCTACTCCAGTAAAAGCCGTGACTGAACTGTTACAAAACAAGAGACTTGGCCGAGGGGATGTGAGAAATCAACCCGATCACACAAGCCAGCTGGCATCCTTGACAGCCCTAGGCCTCTGACCTTTCGTTTACCTGTCATCTCGGACCGCGGCCTTCTCCCAGCAGGCAGGCGGGCACCCTGCGGCTCCTGTGCCAGGTGAGTGGGAGGTGGTCACAGCCCATGTATTGCATCTTTGACACACTGAGGGAGGGCTGAAGCTTGCGGGACGTCAGGGCTCTGCATTCATCAGTGCCTGAGGCGTAGTCTCGGGACCTACTTGGTAACTGTCCAAGCTCTTTGAAAGCCTCAACTTGGATTTTTTTCTCTTATAAGGGTGTTCCTGCATCAATTACCTTATTGCTGCTAATGTGGCTCTTAAACTAATGTGATGAAACATCCCTGTCTCCTGTACCAAAGGTTTTTACCACCAATCCATATATGGATCCTTAGCCAGCCACCTTCTGTTCTCTGCCACTTCTGCACTCACCCTCTCCTCTTAGGAAGTAATCTGCTTTCTTTCCCCAAGGAAAGGCCAGATTTCCAACATGAATTCAGTGAGCACCTGCTGTGAAACAGGAACTGTGCTAAGTTTTGGAAAATAAAGGCCAATGAGGTATGACGTCTGCCCAGGATGTACTTTAGCTGGAAAGAGGGAGATAGACATGAGGACAAATAAGGACAACCAGACCATGGAGGTGAATTAATAGATAAATGTACAGGACAAAGGGAGGGTAGGAGAGGAGTCATTGATTCCACTTAGGAAGGCAGGAAACGCTCCATAAAGACCATTTGGAATGAGCTACCCAAATTTCCTTCCCTCTGCTTCTGAAACAGTCAGTAGCTGTAGATATTCTTACCATCTTTCTTACTGCTTTAGAACAGGGGTATACTCCTTTCTAAGTCTAATCCTTAAAAGTAAACTTCATCTTCCAATAAAAAGTGAGATAGAAGAACTACAAAAATAGTCCTGGCTGGGGTGGCTCAGTTGGTTGGAGTGTCATCCCATGCACTGAAGGGCCATCGGTTTGATTCCCTATCCCGGCACATACCCAGGTTTCAGGTTCGGTTCCCAGTTGGGGTGCATACAGTAGGCAACTGATAGATGTCACACTGATGTTTCTCTCTCTCTCTCTCTCCCCCTTCCTTTCTCTCTAAAATCAACGAAAACATATCCTCAGATGAGAATTAAAAAGAAAAGTACCACAAAAATATTGTAAAACAGCAACATAGAAAAATTAAGAAAAGAAACATCTCCCATAACTCAGCCAATTTTTTAACATGGCGACCGAATCACATTTGTGTATTTAATCTCCTTTCCCTATGCACATTTAGATAGTTAGAGGCATAGCCCCTTTTGGTCATGTTTATCCTGTGCCCCCTCCTCGGGGACCTGATTCCTTCCAGCTCCACATCTGGACTGTCTTTCCCAGTGGAAAGCCCCGTTCACCTCCCTGCTCTCTCAAGTCCCAGGCGTTCTGTAGTACAGGACTCCAAATCCTTTCCTTAGCCTTGCTAGACTCTTATCAGTTCTTCAGTGACCTACCTATGGGCCAAGTCACTTTTCTTGTTGATCTTTTACTTCTTTCTGCAGCTTTTCTCCCTTGACTCCCTTGGTTGTCTGTTCTTGAAGTTGCTTTGTTTGTTTTTTCCTACTTCTCTTGTAACTCTTTCCAGCTCCATCTCTTTCTTATATTAGTTCCTCTCCCTCTGCCCACCCTTTAAAGACTGGTGGTTCCCAGAGTCTCACCCACAACCAACGTCTCTTCACTTATTCAGAACTCTCTTTGGGCCCTCTCTATGGCTCCACACTTTGCCTGACGCTTCTAGATCTGTATCTCCAGCCTGGACTTCTTGCCTGAATTTCAGCCCCAACTGCACCTTACTACTGAATATCTCTACCCCTGACACCTCCAGCTCAACACGTGTACACTGGATTCTTGTTTTCATTCCTTAGCTTGGTTAAAAGCATTACCACCCAGTTAGTCCACCATGCTGGAAGAATGAACTCCATCCTTTCTCCCTGTCGTGTAAATGCTTCCTGCAAAATGTGTCTCAAATCCACCCTCATTCTCGCTGCTCCTTTTAAATCCGACCCTATTTCTCATCTGGCCTACTGGACAGCTTAGTAATGAAGGCACTGCCCTCCATTTCTCTTGACAATGCTCTTTCTTCTATACTTTTTCACAAATTATATTCCTAGTATATGAGTCGTTTAAAAAGATTGTTTCCCTAATTAAGAGCTGTTGATGATTTTCCACTGTCTGCAACAAAATTTCTAATTTCTTACGCAGCACTCAATGCAGCGTGTGGTTTCCCACCCCGCTCACCCGTTTACTCGCTACCCACTCACCCTCTGATGCAGCCTCATGCAATTATTGACGCTGCCCTGCAGCTCTGAGCAGCCACGACTTCTTACACCTCCCAGGTCCTCCTGCGGTTCTCCCTCCACCTAGAAATGCCTTATGCATTTGTCAAAGTCATATTCATGCTCCTAAGCCCAGCTTAAATGCAGCCTTCTGTGAAGTCTTCCCAGACCTGGCTTTCTCCTGCCCGGAGCAGTCAGCCACTCTCTCCTCTGTTCTCATACCAGAGTGGCTCCTAGTCCCGGCTGTGCCCGAGAACCAACTGGGAAGCTTTTAAAAGACACTGACGCCTGGGCTGTACCCTGCACCGCTTATACCAGAATATTTGTTGGTAAGCTCTGTGTATTAGCAATTTTTTAAATCAGACCTCAGGTGCTCAGAATTTAAGTTCACATCTTGATACATGATTCACGGCAGACTCTCACCACTGACCATGCTTGCCCATTTTAACTAGATTTTAATAATGTAACAAATACAGGTGAACCTGCCACCTGATCTAAGAACCAGAGCATTACGAGTAGCTTATTAACTCTGTGCTCCTCACATAGTTCCCCATTTGCTTGCCCCAGAGGTAACTACTACCCTGCTGTTTTTATGCCTTTGTTTTAAAAATGTTATTAAATATATATAACAGTACATACATTATTCAGTTTTGCTTGGTTTTGAACTTTATAAAAGACATACAGCTCCCCAGGCCTTGGCATTTTCCCTCTCACGCACAGCCAGGGGGAGCCACTGTCCATGCGCGTTTCACGGCCTGTCCAGGGGCCTCTGCGATGAGCCGTTTGACGGGTCTTCCTTCGGCTCTGGCTTTGGGAATCCTGCCTCACGCTGGCCTTTCCGAAGTCAGTTCCTCAGGCCTTGGCCTCTAATACATTCACTTAGGGGATTCTGTTCTCATCTCAGCACTTTGCCTGGCTCTGAGCTTTGGGTCTGTCACCCTCTACCCTGTCCCTGCCCCCCTTTCGTTTGTTCTTTTGTTTCAGCTCCACCCCATATCATTTATCCTTAGTAATAGCCAAGGAGAGCTAGTGAAGCTGCAAAGACTGGTGTATAAAAAACACATAGAAAGGAAACAAAAAGTGTTGCCTGCATATTTAGCCTGCAGTGACTGGGTGGGCAGAGGAGGGCTTAGTGAAACCACAACCATACAGAAATGGGGTCTCGGTGTCTCTAACGTGTGGTCCAGAGGGATGGCTCAGGCGGGGAAGGAACCAGCTCCATCTCTGAGCGCACATTCTTAGCCCCCCTTAGCACTTCCCTAATGATCACAAATAAACTGTGTGCTGCGGTGTCGTACATGCCGGTTACTGAGCCAGGCCACAGGGAGTCGGCAGGGAGAAGGGAGCTCGCTTTATTCGGGGTCGGCCTGATTCTGGACAAGGAATCGCCTGCTTGATTAGTTCAATTCTGGGGTCTCTGCCCATGTCCGGAAGAGCTGAGGTTCTGTGAAAGACCAAAGGAGGCAGATGGACGGTGATCTGCTGTATCTGCCTCTTGGGAAAAACACTCAGGTGATTTTGGAACAGAGCTGGGACACGTCTTCCTGCTGTTTGTTAGCTGTAACATTGAATCTCCTCTCTCTCAGGCACACGTATGTGCCAGGATTTTTCCAGCTCTGTCAGACCCAAGTACCCACTACGCACAGACAAGACTAAATAAATTGAAATGAAGTGTTCGTTGCACCACTACTTGGGGCCTGAAGGTGAGTCTGCTAAACAAATAATATAATATTTGTAAGTGAACTATTCCCAGGACTCACACGATTTATTATGGTTGGTTTTCTTTTTTTTTTTATGGTTCAAATGGGAAGGATTCTAACAGCTTAGTTTGTTTCAGAAAACCAAACAGGTTCTCATTTGAGAACTACTGCAATAAATTTGCTATTACTGGGGTGGACTGTAAATCATCAGGTTAATAAAACTATTTTCTTGGAAGTTTAAATTTATTAAATAACATTTAAATATAATATATAAGAATTTTTAGATTCTAAAATTCTTTCCTGTGTCGCTTAACCCATCTATCAACCTGATCCTCAGAGATCTCAGACAATGAAATATTGTGGGTTTCATGAGTTCAGTAGCTCCCAAGCTCTCCACTGCTCCCTCGCACATGCGTCCTTCTCAGGGATGTGCATACACTACATGTGTGTACAGGGATGCACACCTACAACAGCTGGCCTGTTCTCACAGGTCTAAAAGAAACCCTGGCTTCTAAGGTTGCTGTGTTCTTTTTTTCAAAAAGTTATGATATTACTGTTGAATCCAAAGTTCAAACAAACATGATGTCAGGAAAAGGCACAGCAGAGCATTTTGAAGAGATTAGATTTCTTTAAATTACAAACACAGTAAGAGCAGAGGATCTTTAAAATGAACATTTTATAATCAGGGTCATGCTTGTGTTTTTGCTCCTTTGCTTAGAAAAATAATATCGTCAGATATGACAAAACCTGCAGCGCAGTGCATGACACAGTGGGAGAGAAGTGTGCAAACATGAAGTGGCATCGAAGAAAGGGTCCTCCTGCCCTTTGGATCTGCGCTGAGATTGGAAGTTCTGAGACTCGAGAATTATCATTTTTTTCACTGCTAGGAAAACACTGCAATAAGAACAGTGTATTAGATAATATTTTTATTTAAAGGTTTATTTTAGGATTCACCTTTCTGAACCAAAAAAATAAATGAGGATTTGTGGGCAGTCCTGCCATCACCGTCTACTGGCAAAACTCTCTCCTGTTTGAAATTCAGTTCAGTTCACTGGTTCTCAAGTGGGCCCAGCAGCATCAGTCTCATTCTGGAACTTCTTAGAAAAGCAAATTCTCAAGTGCCACCCCAAACTTGCTGAATCGGAAACTCTGGGTGTGGACCCAGAAATGGGTGCATTAATCAGCCCTCCAGGGGATTCAGCACAGGTTCAAGTTCGAGGACCACTGGCCACATGCAGCTCAGTCTGTGAAAGACCCACAGGTGTCCGACGATGTCAACCGCAGGGCATCGCCTGCTGACGAGGCAGATAAGCCAGCAGGGGCTCCGGAGCACTAGAGACTGATTCCTGACATCTTTCTCATGCTGAAGGAAAGGGTAATCGGGGATAAAGAAAGGTTTTCTTCAGCCGAGGCCCATTGATGTAAAAGGTCGAAAGTCAATTGAGTAAAGGTAAAAAGGTTAAAAAAAACCACCTCACATAAATTATCATTTTGTTCCTTGCAATAAGAAATATAACATACTCAGCTTGCTTTTTTTTTCCTCTTTCAGTTAATTACGAGGAACATGAGACAAAGCTGGGAAAATACCTCTTTTCTATTATGGTTAATTAAAGGAGAGACACCAGAGCTTTCTTCACAGAGCCTATTTTCATGAAGGGCATGGGCCTTCCTTGCATTTCTGTAAGTGCCTCACCCACTCCTTAGTGTGAAATAGGTGCCTAATAAATATTCATTAAAATTAAGGGAAATAAGGGGAAAGGATATCAAAATAGAGAAACACCCAAGGAGGAATATTTTTCACCACAGACAGAGAAAAATATTTTTTAAAGAAACATGCAGAGAGAAGGAAGACACCCAGCAGAAAATGGAATTAAATGACAGAGGTAAAGCGCAAAGAGATGACTCCCTGAGCAACAAAGAACTAAGCTGACCTATAAATCACAGGAGTAAGGTCCACGAACGTCAGAATCAATGATCTAACTTCTGAAGTTTGCAACATTTAAAAAAATATTATTTCTAAAAATCCTTCCAAAATGCTGGCCCAGTTTCAAGGACCAAGAAATAGACTGTTATTTCCCCCCCCCACAGAAGGGCCACATTAGGTCGGTCAGGGAGGCGCACTGGCTCTGCGATGAGTTGCTGGAGGGGCAGCGAGCATCCGGTCACAAGGTCCTCAGTCCAGGAGGACCGGTAGCTCTGAGGAAGGTGACAAATTCTGAATCAAAAGAAGAGGGGAAGGGAGAGTGTGGTTCTTTTTTAAACCTTCAACTTTGCTGAGAATATTTCTCAGAGTTTCAATTCACAGCAGCTTTTTCACAGACGTGTAAGCATGGGAAACATGGCTCAATGGACCAAGGCCTGTGAATTCTCACCTTGAACCAAGCTTCGCCTCACGCTCTTCACCAGTTGCTGCCGAGCTCATGCTTGGTTTCACCCCAGGGCGTGAATATGCTCTAACATCGTGCGGCGCGGTGACCGGATAGTTCAGGACCAGCCGTAAGCAGAGCCGTAAGGGGAAGACACAATCAGGCACGAGTGTTGGCAGGAGGCATGCTACCCTTTGAGCATTCCTAAGGAGGCGTTGCTTGTTCAAGAAAAGGCATCAGAAAGCATAACACACAAAACGGAGCTGGCAGCCATGTGCTAAACATCAGGAGAGTTGATCCAACTCTGGAAAATGGTAGTTTTTGCCGTTAACACTTCCATTCAGCAACGCACCACCGTCCAGGAACATTAACTGGATGCGGGGGCCCCGCTTTGTCATCTCGGGCAATAAACAGAAGAGCAGTGAAGAAAAGCCACCCGCACTCCCATTGCCATTCTGCAGCACACACTCACGCACTCCCATGGACGGTACAACAGCAAAGGCGGGCCCCACTGCCAGCTGCGCCCTCTGGGTGGTGGTTTCAGTAAAGGTTCAGCAGTCGAGGCAAATGCACTGTGGCGGGGGATGTTGGTAACGAGGGAGGCAGTGCAGGGGCAGGATGTATATAGGAAATCTTTGTATCTTTTTCTCAATTTTGTGGTGAGCCTTAAACTACCTTAAAATAATAGTCTTTAAAAAAGAAAACAAACCCAACACTTCCATTCCTGCTTTTTGAACTCAGTCAGATGTTTTGATCTATCAGTAGGCTGGAACCTCCAATACGTGGGTGATAAGATGCTTAGTTCACAAATGGGAAAATAGAATCGACCTTATGGACAGTCCCAGAGCTTCCTAAGCTTGTTTGAACTTGCCATTCACTTGGTATTTGACTTAATGGCAATCAATCCCTAAATACCATACAGTGAAAACAAATTAGAAGTTAAACTTTTTGCTCCAAGGAAAGAAAAGGAAAGATAAGGAGAGATCACATGAAGCCTATTGTTTCATATACGTGGTAAAGAGGCAAATATATCCATGTAGAGGCATATGCCATCTTTCAGTTTCTAAAGAGGAACTCCTCTGCTGTCGGGAAAGTCTTCCTTTGGAGAAGGCAGACCTGGATTTGTGTGCATCCCTCTTGGGTCCCCTTGGTGCTTTACTGTGCATATCTTCAAAGCAAAGAGTATTGGGGCAGTGCAAAGAAACATTTCTTTATGCAACCAGTGAGATTGTTCTTGAATTAACCGAGTTCTAAAGGCTTATTCTTGAATAAGGCTTATTCAAATAAGGGCAAATACTTATTCTTGAATCAACACAGCTAACTGGACAAATACAACTGAGTATAGTTGTATCAGTAAAATAGCAGATTGATGGCATTTTCTATTAATCCGAATGTTTAAAACATTTAGTCAAAGGAAAAAGGCAAGACTTTGATTATGTGGCTGTCAAGACAGGATTATACAATGATGGTTTGGGGTCAAGGCAGGGAGGAGGTGCTTCCTGTGCTGGCATTGAAGGCTGATTTATGACAAGTGCTAAGTCTTGGCATTCTGGAGCAAAGGGAAGGGGGGCCAGGTGTAGACTCTTTTTTAATCTTCACTTATCTGAGGACATGATTATTGATTTTAGAGAGAGGGAGAAAAGGAGAGAGAGAAACAATGATACGAGAGAAAAACATCAATCAGTTGCCTCCTGCACGCACCCAACTGGGGATCGAACTCACAACCGAGGTAGGTACCCTGACCGGGAATCTTACACATCGACGCTCCAACCAAGCCACACAGGCCAGGGCAGGTGTAGACTACTAATGGTGTCCCTGATCCTGGCACTTGGAGCTCCTGATTGTATCGGGATCTCCTATTAGGTTTCCAACATAGCATGTCTCTTGTATTTCTGAATAGACTCTAGTAGAATGCGGAAGAGAAAAGAGGCAATCTAATTTTGAAGTGCCTTTGTACATAGAAAAATAAAGTGGTAATGAATGTGTTCATGCATGTTCACGCATGTCCTTATATAAACAAGTATTTGTTTTTAAGATCACCTTCTTCTCTTGCCTCATAAGAGAGCTAAGAGAACTAACATTTATTGAGTACCTATCATGAGGTGGTGGTTTATGGACATTATTTCCTTAAATGTTCACAACTGAGTCAATAGATATTATTATTATTATCCCCAATTTCAGATGAGGAAACTGAAGCCAAGAGGATAAAGCACTTGCTCAATATTATCAGACAGCTGGTGGGAAAGCTGGGATTCAAACTAGTTGGTTTCGATTACAAAACCAGAGTACTTTTCTATTGTGTGTTGTTGCACCACTTTCTAGCAATATCAATTTGGAGTTCTAACGTGTCTCCTCTCATTTCTGGTTGTCAAAAAATAACAATTACATATACTCTCCTCCACATGTGTATCCATAGAAGTACATGTATGTGCATTTATGGGATACAGTGCAGAGTAGTGGTAAAGTACATGAATTCTGGAGTGAAAGTACCTGGGTTCTATTACCAGCCCTGAGGGGCTTAGCCACTCTCTGACCCATTTTTCCATCTGTAAGACAGGTATCCTGATACTGTAATAGCTAAAAATGGTGTCTGGAATTTTTAAGCACTATGCAAGTACAGTTGACCCTTGAACAACA